ATATTTTCATATTATAATAGTATAGTGTGATGTAATATAATGCAGCATAATATAGTTGTAACATAGTATGTGGTATAATAAATCTTTGCTAATATTACAAAATTACTAATTCTCTTCTAAATTACATGAAATTTAATTACATTATAATTAATAATCTTGTTCTACATTTAAGTATCAATAGCAAAAATAGAAAATAAAAACTAAACTAATATAGAAAATAATGAAATTTGTCAAGAGAATGATGTGATTAATATATTTAAATAAAAATAATAATGAAATAAATATAGAAAGATAAGTAATACGAGAAAGTAAAAAAAGAAAATAGAAAGAAATAGAAAGAAGTAGAATATTATCAAACTAAATACATAATCCAAATATCATTATGACTAATTTTTATTCTAATTATCTTTTCTATTTATATGTTCTTATATTGAATTATTGATGATATTGAATCAGTGACAATATATATTATTTTTAATTCTTTTTATTTTTATTTATTTTATTATTTTATATTTATAATTTTTAATTTTGTATTAATTATTTTTATATTATTATTTATATTTTATATATATTTAATTAAGTACAGTATAACTTAAAGATATATTACCTTTAAAATAATAATTTAAAATTAATTGCTCTTTATTTATTATTAATTTATTTATAATTTATTAAACATTACTTATATATTTAAATATTTCTATTCTATACTATAGTTCTTTAGATCTTTTCACTATTTAATAAATAAAGAATAGGTTTTATTAAAATTAATACTAAAAACTATCTCAATTAATATAATAATTAATAAATTTATCTTAATATTATTCATATAAGAAAGTATTCTTATACTCAAAATTAAAGATATAGAAATTATAATATTTATATTATAACAAATATAATTCAAAGACAAATTTAAGAATTATAATAATAATTTTTTTTACTTTAATATAACTTAGTAATTAAGTTAAAAGATTATAAAATTAATAATAATTTTAATAAACTTTATTACAAATATATTTAAAGAATTTTAATAATTAATTACTTTATTTAATAAGCTTTATTATAAATATGTTCAGAGAGTTTAGAATTAATTATTAAATAATATAATATTGTTTTACTAATCATTAAATTAGCTTATAAACTTGAATCTAAATTGGGAAAGAATGATAAACTGATAAAAATATTAAAAGAAAAAGAAAAATATTTAAAACCTATATCAATTTCTACAAAAATTGTGTTTACTTAAAAAGAAATAATAATATAATAAAGTTATGAGAAATTTATGAGAAAGTAAAGATTAAAATGGATTAAGAGTATAAAAGAATATTAAAAAGAGTTTAAAAGATTAATTTTCTGTACTTGTATAAAGCTTTCAAGAACTAAGACAATATAATTAATAATAATAATAACAAAGACTTTTTTATTTTATTCTTTTTACAAGTGAGAAATATTTGTTAATAATTAAAAATTCAAATAACAAAAATTAAAATACTTAAAACTCAATTTTAATAATTTAATACAGTAATTTGTTCAGTACAATATAATATAAAACTTAATAATCCAACAATATCAATTTGTTTAGTACAATACAATATAAAGTTTAAAATTAATAATAGTAATTTGCTCAATGCAATATGATATAATACTATAATAATTTTCATATACTCTTGTATTATATCTATTATTTTTTGTGTTATATTTATCATTTTTTGCATAATATGTTAAAAATTAATACAGATCTACATTTAATATTTTTTAATATTTTGTCAAATAGATTAGATGTAAAATATAGATCATATTATTAATTTAGATACATCTTATTTTTAATTACTTTTCTTTTTATTTGTTCTTTTTTTTACTTTTATTATTTTTAAATTCATGTTAATTATCTTTTATTATTATTTATATTTTATATATATCTCATTAAATACAGTATAACTTAGAGATGCACTATCTTTAAGATTAATAATTTAGAACCAATTGCTCTCTATTTTATTATTAATTTATTTGTAATTTATTAAAATCTCAATTATGTATTTAAATGTTACTGTTCTGTATTATAGTTCTTTAGATCTTTTCACAATTTAATAAATAAAAAAATAAGCTTTATTAAAATTGAAATTGAAAACTATTTCAATTGATATAATTTATTTATAGTATTTAATAAATTTATCTTATTACTTTTTATATAAAAAAGTATTCTTACAAAAATTATTAGTAATTTATTAGATATAATATGATATAAGATTACTTATATATAAAATTTAAAAGATATTTGAAAGAAGATTTTTGTTAAAAGATATTTTTATTTTTAGTTACAATATGTTAAGTTAAGACTTAGATAACATTTCTATTTATATATTTTTTGAAAATATAATTTCAAATAATAATAACTATCTAAAAGATAAAATAACTAATCAAAAAGATATAATAAAGACAAAAAAATAAAATATAAGATAAAAAATAAAAAATAAAAAATAAAATAAAAAATAAAAAATAAAAAATAAAAGAAAAGATAAAATAAAATAAAATAAAATAAAATAAAATAAAATAAAATATAAAAGTAAAATAAAAGATAAAAAGTAAACTAAAAAATAAAATAAAAGATAAATAATAAAATAATTTGAAAAATCTTTGCTATTATGTGTATATTTGTCAATTATTTTTAAAATTAATAATTTTTATATTACTATTATAATAGTATTTGTGATAAATATACTTGAGTAACTAATATTTTATTCAAGAACTATATAAAACTTATGACAAATATACTAAAGTGATTATATAAGAAATAAGAATACTTTGTTAAAGAAATATAAAAAGAAGTTTGTGCTTGACTTTCTACTTTATATAAAATGCAAACTTTACTCATATAAATAATTAAAAGTATATCTATCTATAAGATAATAATTAGAAGTATTATTATTAAAGATTTTTTTCTAATTTAATTCTAATAACTATAATATAAATTGCTTTTATATATGTTCAAACTATAATTTAATAGATATACAAATTTATGTTTATTAGTTTATTGGTCTAATATTCACTTATTCATTCATTTATTTGCTTGTTCATTTATTTATTTGTTCATTCACTCACTTATTATTTGCTCATCCCAAATGATTAGTTTCTTCCAATAAGATATAAGATATTTATAATTTAATAATATTAAATATGAATAATCCAGTAAAATATTTGATTAAAGTTTATTATATAATAATACTTTATTTAATTAAAATTATACTTTAATTAACTAAATTAGTAGAGGTGCTAGATAGCAAAAACAATATAAAGATATAAAGATGATTGAAGTATTATTATCAGATTGAGATTTTGTATCCATTTAATATATGTATTTTCTGGTATCTTAGTACCACTATCAGAATTATTAAATTCTGATAATAATTCTTGATTTTTATCAATCTTAACATTTTGAAGTGAAATCATAATTTTCAAATTATATGTATTTACTGTTATCATTATATGATTTATTCATTATTGTTATCATTATTAATTAAATTCTTGAATTTTAATCAATTTCCAAATTATAACATTAATTGATTCTCAAATAAAATTGATTTTAAAGAATCAATTCATATCACTAGTTCATTTAGAATTTTAGTATGCTGTTCATTCAGAATTTCATGCTTTCAGTATACTGTGCTTTTAATATGCTGTTTATTCAGGATTTCGTGCTTTCAGTATGTTATACATTCAGTATACCGTGCTTTCAATATGCTGTTCATTTGGGTTTTTATGCTTTTGGTATGCTATTCATTTGGGATTTCATGTTTTTGGTATATTGTTCATTCAGGCTTTCATACTTTCGGTATGCTGTACTTTTGGTATGCTGTTCATTTGGACTTTCGTGCATTTAGTATGTTGTTCATTCATGATTTTATGCTTTTGGTATGCTGTGCATTCACGATTTCGTGCTTTCAATATGCCATGCATTCAGGATTTCGTTTGTTGGGCTTATGTATTGTCGGAATTGTGGTTGTCGGGATGTTGAACCAAATCCAGGTAAACACTTTTTACATACATATATATATATATTGTACGGTTCTGTTTCCCTATACAACATCCCCTCTCCCCCGACAAGATGCAGTAAAGTGGCAGAAAGTGAATGATAGATAAGGATAAGGTGACAATTATCAGATGTTAATGCAATTTAAAGTACATTGCATTTACTAAGTTTTAAAATCTTTGAATTAACTAGTTCAACGGAAATAAAGATTAAGAGTTCATGTAAAGCTGATTTTTTTTGAAAATTAAGCAAGTCTAATGAATAAAACAAAATTATAAATATTTTAGAATAAGTCTAAACAATGTGATCGATACAAATAAAGTACGTACATATATTTGCAAGCGGTGTGTGTGGATCTCAAATAAAGTATAGAAATGCAATTATAACGGTGCAGAAGTATCAGTCATTTCATAACACATATCTCAATACAATAATCTAATCATTAACGTTCAGTGATCCGATTTGAGCGAAAATACTACCATTTGATTCGTCTCGACTAGACAAATCGAATGGCAGTATTTTCACTCAAATTGGATCACTGGACGTCGAGATATTACAATACCTGATATAGAAGCTCTACCAATCTCTAAAAATCATGTTTGCGTTTCTCTTTGTGCTCGGAAAATTTTGGTACATAACACATGATCTACGGAAAGTTAGAAGAGGTCGGATACTTTTGCGGTTGACTGTATATAACGAGAATCAAAAAGACATTTTAAAATATTTGAAAAATAAATCCTGTAGAGATCCAAAACCACAGTTTGAAAAAAATATCATTTGGCGGGGAACAAAAATCCTTTCAATAATTATCATTTGGCAAGTTATAATTAGGGCTGTTAATCGATCCATTGAGTCCGACTTGGTCCAAAGACCATTGATCCCTTGCAAAGACTCCAAATCACAGATGAGGACCAAACTGCGACTGAATAGTTCATTCGGTCCAATTCAGTCCAAGCTTTTAAAGTTTCAGATAAATTACAAATAAATTAATCAATTTATTGTTTTAAAAAAATTACTTATCTAATGAAGTTAATAACATTAATACTATACTAACTCTCAAATAATTAAAGTTAATATTGCCGTTACGATAATTTAATGAAAAGCCTACCTAAATTAGGCCATAATGCAAGAATTTCCACAGCAATTTTCACTCACATTCACATGGAAAAAGTTAAAGCCTGATGTGGGCGAACTAGTGAATGCTTTATTAAAATATATGCGTATTTATACATAATATTTGCAATGCTAAACTATTAACTTTATTAGAATGTAGCATTTTTCGCACCATAGACTTTTAGAATGTGATCCGGGATAACATTAATAATTACGTATTTTATTGTAGCATTTTTCCACACACAGACTTTGCCGACACGCGTTCCGGTAGGGGGCGGAATGCTTTTGTTCTCGATAGTATTGAATATAGATACGCTCGAGGCCAAAAATACATTATTTATTATTTTAAAAGGCTTGATTCTGACCCGAGGTCACAGGGTTAGGTAAGCTATGGCACAGTAGACGTTTTAACCTTTCCCTAAATTTAAGAAATGGATTCACAATAAATAACAGACATCATAATGGAAGTTTGGTTGCTAGTGTCATCTTCTTATTAGTATCCAACCTTGGCGTATTAACAAAAAAGGTGTGATATTAAGACAAAAGGAGTAGGTTATATACGAATCAAGTTGAAGATTCGTTAGTTTATGGTTACACAAATTTTCTCTTCAATTAACGTTAAGATGCAGAATTTAATTTGTATTCTAAATATTTATTTTGAATTTGTTGCATTAAAATAATATTTTTAACAAACTCTTCAATAACAATAATTATAATAAGACCTTCCCAATTAAACGAATATGGTTTAGTTGGCATCTTTTGTTTTTGCCGAGCGTCTCTGCAATAATTTCTGCTTCTTGTTCATCAATTTCCCGATCTTTTTGCCGTCCTACACTCTCACGATTCAAGGACATTTTATGCTCCTGGAGCACATTATTTTGTGGCTCTTTAACCAGGTGCACGTATTGATCGTGAAGTTCGTGTGGTTGATCAGGTTTCGTTTTTCACGTTGGTACAAGATTGCGCGCGATGTGTGACTTGGTGTCGTACATTCCTGACATTTTGCAGATTATAAATTTTGTGGTTGTTACAATTATTGTCAAGGAGAAAGGTATGCCTTGGTTATTTCTGTGACTCTCCCGGTATCGGGTATGTGCCGACTATCGCTATTTGATATACATGTAATCGAAATGGTTGCTATTTTGGAAGAAAAAAGAAAAAGCTTATCGTATTGTTGATAAAACTATTGCAATCAACTAAATTCTCTTCACCGCCACCCGAAAATCTCGCTACCCTCCTATTCCAGCAAACGAAAGTTGGTATCACACTAAGCGATTACGGTATTGTGTCAACGACAGAATTCGCCAGTTTTGTTGATGATAATGACGAGATGTCTACAACAGAATTTGCAGCGCAAGCCAAACGGCCAGTTTTGTCGTTGATGACGACGAGAAATCTATATCAGACTTTGATCAAGCAAGGAAACACTGCCGTTAAAAAGTGACCACGACTGATGTTGTCTCTATGACATCTATTGAACATGATAGTACACCGCGAAAATATCAACCATTTTGTCATCCGGTAAAATTGCCAAATGAGATTGTCGGTGTTCTGCCCGGAATGTGATGATAGTAGGGAATGTTAAGTATTGTAATGCCAAAGAGAATCGCTGAAGCTGGATCGCCAGAGGTATGTAAACTCGGTTATGATCGATTCAACTTTATTCGAACAAATTATTCTATAGAAGGTTAATGTGTCTGAAGACAAAAGATAAGCTCGTCGAAAAGCAGGTGAATTATGCAAACGGATGGATGTTTCTTCTTTCTTGAATTCTTATACGTATTGCTTCTAACTTATTAATCCTGCGAATTTTTATCTTCAATCTTGAATTTGCTGCAAAATATTGTCTCAATTTTTTTCGCCTATCAGAGAAGAATGATTATTTTTCTCGATAGCAACCTTTATTTTAATCACTAAAATCACATTGTTACACATAAACTGTTAAATATACAAGAATTACCCGAAAAAAGCGCTATTGTTCACTATAATTATTAATTTTAAATACGTAAATGATGATAAATACAAAATTTATTTTACATTGCTGTTCAATTCGACATTCGAATTTCCTCAAGAAGAACAAGCAAGGAAGGTTCAACCCAATAATTAACATTGCCCTTTACGTTGTCCCATAAGTTCTCTCGTGCATATCCAAAATTCGATTTAAAGTATGAAGAAGGTGTGTCATATCCGGAAAACGATAAGGAATGTGAGGGCGAAATGTAGTAAAAAAAGAAAGGCGTTGAAATGAAAAGGACAAATACGCTGAGAATATTTATCATTTTTTGGTTTTTGTTTTTTTGGCGCCGGGTGTTTGAAATATAGATAAGTGAAAAGTGTTTTATTAACTTTAGATGTTACAAGTCAACAAAAGGTCAAATAAACAATTTTTTGGTTATCGTTATTAAAAATATTTGGTTATCGTTATTTAACGTTAATATTGGCGTTAAGAGAGTAATAACGATAAATAAACAATAAAGGTAACATTTATATGTATCAAATCATTATGTGCGCTAATCTTGATTGTTGCACTACATACCCGTATGTTGTGTGATCAATAAAACTTGATCTGGATGATCAACTATCGCCGCTAGTCAACCAATTAGCATAGCTGACACTAACATTAACAATCTTACCAAATTCTTCATCTTAACGTTAACGTTAAATACCAATCATTTCCTAAACCTCCAACTCGTCATCTTTCGAACTGTCCTATTATTAAGTCTTCTTCCTTGTCAGTGTCATGACATCCATGTGCTATCAAATATTGGCAATACACCAAAAGTACGAGCCAATCACAATGCAGTTTTTTTGTGTACTTCATATATTATACTTAACATATTATTAAACATATATATTATTAACGATGGATGTCAATTTGCATGAATTTTCTCGTACTTTTTTTAATGAATGCGTCTAGTATTTTATTATTTTATTTATCTACTTTCGGAGTAATTTGTAAAAAATACTGATCAATTATTTGCGGAAAGTTTAGATTTGATTTTTGCTATATAGTATTGTATACCATTTTGTAGGGCTACAACTTAGGATTTATTATTAAGAATTAGGACTTTAACTAAAATGTTTTTATTTTCAAATTTATAAATATGTTGTATATTTCCACAAATATAATAAAGTATTTTATAATAAATTATAGCACTACAATTTCACTTAGATCCATATTTTGTGTTTTACAGAAAACTATTGAAGATTTTAGAATTTTTGTTCATTCCTATCTAGTAGATTTAAAATTTTTAAAGAGATCTTTAATATTTATATGACTTTAGAGAACGCTATTATATAAAGCAATTGCCTTGGAATGTTTCAAAATTTTTTATTGTCTTTTTATTTTTACACCATATTATGTAAATATATGCAATTCAGTAAGTTTAATGAAAAAAATATATCAAGTAAATTTTAGCACAAACAATTAATTCATAAGAATAATTATTAATATGAAGTAAATTTCAGCAAGTCTGAATGTCAGACAAACAGCAATTTTATGTAAGTCCACATAAATTCAATAAATTAATGTACATTCAGTGAATTGAATCAAAAATAAATATGTATTGGTCGACAAGATCAACCTAATTTTTAAAAAATGTCGCGTTTGACGTGCAATGTTGCGCGAAATTTTAAAAGCGATATCAATTAAACTCATCATCGATCATGACTTTTAAAGGCGATCAAAACGCTAACGCTAATAAATAATCTAAAACGTGGTATTTCAAAGCTAGTTAATTAAGAAAATTCACATATACTGATGGAATGGGACTGACAATGCAAAATAAAATAGCTTGGCTACAAGTTTCCTTTATCAGGCAGTACAAATTAATGGGTGTCGATCATGAGTTCACCTTATCGTTATCATTTGATGACTTATAAGGGTTGAAATTAAATATGCTTCAAGTTTTTTTTATTATGCTAAAGAGAGTCAATAATTGAAATACGTTTGGGAAAACCATGCACATGCTTTAAGACTACCCAATTATGTATTATGAGCAATTCTGTTGCTAGATTGCGAAAATCAAAAAGTCAACTGTTTTGTCAGCTAACCTTTATTTAATTTCAGTTGTAGCGCGTAAATAGAAAAACCTTCTTTTTATACCTTTATAATACATTGAATACAAACATATGCTAATTAGGTATGTACATGTAATCTAAAGTTAAAAAATCTTTGTCTTCAAAACCTGCCTGATGTTTCGCATTGTCTTGATAATCTGTAACCCGCATTTTTTTGTTATTAATTTCCTTATATTGATAAAAATAATAAAAGTTAATCTACAGTGGGTGCTCCAATAAATTTGACAACTCAAAGCAGGATTAGAAGTTAATATTTAAACTTTATTTTTGTTTACAAATTTTACTAATATCAATGGTTTGTATATCAATAACCGTGGCAATTCAATCGGGCATACTATAAATTAACTTTCGATAGTATTCGGTGCAAGACCCTTCCAAACCACTTTCACGCATTGTTCGAGTTCTGGATTGTCCTCCTGAAAAAAACCATCACCACATGGGACAAATTTGTGTGTGATAGGATCCTTATCTATTTTGAGTATCTAAAACTCAAAAATAATTCTGACCAGATCTTTTTGATATTTAATTATCCCATTGAGGAATGCTTAAAGTCTAATACAACAAAGAAAACGGATGACTATACGATACATGACAAATATAAATAGCTACTTTGTTGTGCATTATGTATATTGTTAAATTTTAGTGTTGGGGGAATACGGGCGTATTATAAATTTGTTGTTAAATAAAATAATAATGGCGGAGAAAAAATCTGATAACAATGATATTTCAAATTAAGCAGAAATAATGCCGCTATTTTATGATTGTTTGCAAGATAATCAAATAGTGCTATCTCTCGATAGTTTGCTTGAACAGAAACATAAATCATTGGCATCCTAATTTATACAATATCGCATGGGAAAAACGTAAAATCTTTGGGGAAAAGAGCATGATTAAAATCATTGCACTTTTTTTCGATTGAGCCACCTTTGTTAAATTGTAATACGGCGCGGGTACCAAATTATATATAAATAACTTATTGAATGAGAATAGAAAAACGTTAATTGCAATCTCGCAGAAATGTTTTGTTAGTCATTTAAAACTATATTCTTTTTCTTAACAGACGTTGAATATAAATACAGCACCTCTCTTTCCTTCCCTTTGCTTTTTCAGATCATAAAAAATCAACTGTTCATTTCCCTTATAAACATACAACCTATTTTAGTTTTATAAACATGACACATTTACATATTGACGCAGTAAGACGCCGCAGCCGATCCCGCAGTCGATCCCGCAGTCGATCCCGCAGCCGATCCAGAGATCGACTGACTATCGCTGTCAACGCTACTGACCGTTGGATCGGAAATTCCATCGCTCGTGGTCTCTTGAGTGACGATAATGACCGATATCGACGAGACGACCGTTATCTGCAAAGAAGACGGGGCAGAAGAGGCGAAAAAGAAGGATGGGACGTTCGTGCTCTTACTCGCAACCCTGAATCACGTCATGTACGCGATTTAAAACGCGACGGTGCCGAAGTTTGCGAGACAAATTATAAAGATTGGTCATCACTTCGAGATACTCTTCGTGGTGTTGACTGGTTAGTCCATGTCGTAGAAAGCCATCGTGATCGTGTTAGAGATGCCAAAGAATTGGCTAAAGTAATTAAAAATTTATTATATAAATCCGATTTTTCGCGCGTTTTACCATCATACGTTTAAATGAAATGCATTTATTTAGGCTGCCAAAGAACAAGGCATCCGAGGTGTTATTGTTCTCTCTCTCCGAGGTGCCGACGAAAAGTTAACCGACACCCATCGTGAATATTATGACATTGAAAGAATTTGGCAAAAAGAACACCGAAATGCTGTTGTACTAAGGTAAAGTAACATAAATCTTTAGCCGATTTTATTTTGACTTGATACACAACTTTATTTATTGTATGCTTCTTTTTTAAAAATAGAGGAGAATTTATATTCCAAGGATTCTTTTTATGGAGTGAGAATATCCAAGAAAAAGGTGTACTTAACTTAACTCTCGACGAAGAACGCGATCGCTTTGTACCAATCGATTTCAATGACATCATTTGTGCTATCCAAGATATGGCTGGCGACCGTGAAAGTTACGGATTAAACGAATTTGGTAAAAAACACCGTCGAGTTTATGACATTACCGGCAAAGATTCCTTCAGCTTCGGTGACGTTGTCGAGATTATCAATAAAAATATCCGTGAAGGTGAAGTTGAATATGAACAAGTCAATCGCAATGAACTCCGTGACTATCTAAGAAGTCTTGGTGGTGAACGTTATCGTAACGAAAGACGTCGTGGACGCGAAGAAGAATATGATCCACGTCAGTTCCTTCCATTAAACGAATGCGAAGTCGAAAAAGTGTATGTGTATCATTTGATAAATTTTAAATATATTCTTTCGGTATATTAAAATACTGTGCATATCTGTATATACTGTTATAGTCTAGACATCGTACACTACATTAAAGAAGGTCGTGACGCTGACCGAATCACTGATGACTTCGAAAAAATTACTGGCAGGAATCCAAGATCAATTATTGAATTCTTTAGAGTAAGTGTGCATCTATTGTATTATTAAAAAAATAATTTGTTTGTTACGAATGTAAATTTCATTTTTGAACTCCTCCCATAGGAAAATGCCGAAGACTTCACTCCAGAAGAAGGTCGCGGCCGTCATGGTCGTCATGGTCGTCGTGGACGTCGTGGAAGTCGTGAACGTCGTGGAAGTCGTGAACGTCGTGGGAGTCGTGAACGTCGTGGTTATCGTGACTTCGAAGATAATGCTTTTCATGCGCATAACAGATTCTTCTCTCGTCTATAAGTCATTGCTTGTTTAAATTTCAGCTAAAAATTAAAGTCTTCTTTTTTCAAAAAAAAAATATATATATTTTCCCTTAAAAAAATCCAAAAATTTGCTATCAATTGATTAGCTAAAGATAGGTCTTTTATTTTGATTATTTAAATAATAAATACGGTCTCATATATTTCTTGTCTAATTTTGCAGCTTGGTTTTGTGTAAATGAAATCAATGGAAAAATGCGAAAAATTCATATCTCTGATTTCAAACATGTATCGGTATGCACCAATTCATGTTCATATCTTGAACGTAAATGACACAATTTTCACTCATTCTCACACAATCTATGTGAATTTTTATTATCTATGAGACTATGAATGGTTCTCACGAATTTACTCAGACTACAATCTTCTATGAAAGAGACACTTCATTGAGAAAGTTCCCAAACTTCTGATATTTCTCGCAGCATACTAGAACTCTGATGGCTACTGCTGCAAGCTGTGTAAATCATAATTTCAAGACCCAAATAATAATTCAAAAAACAACTGCACGTGTATTCATCTGATAAGATCTTGTATTGAAACTGATAAGATTTTGTATTGCATTATCGTTATCTGTATAAAAGATACAAAACGTAATACCGATACGACTTGAAAGATGAAATCATCGAATATAACATTGGTTTTTCGATTTCAGGAAGGGGTTCAAGAAATTTTACGCTATCTCAGTTACCCCAAGAAATTCGTATGCGGATGCGCGAGATCGTGCAGATACGTGAGATCGTTTTTGTGATAATTATAATAAGTGCTTTATTATTATTCTCCCCAAATCTTAGTCTTTAATTATAAGGAATCCGTTAATTTAATTTTTAAGAATTAATTGTCAGCTCAACGAACGGAACAATATGCATGATCGAAACTACTGTATTTAATAATAAACGATGAAGTGATCATAAAATAGTAAGGCTATGCATCAAGCACACCATTTTCACATACTAAATTGCTTTATTAAAACTTTCCCACAAATTTAAGAGTGAACGACAATGACATTAATAAAAAATAATTCTTTTGTAAAACTCAATAAGAAGAAAATGTTATAAATACAGTTGTTCGCTTTTCTTGTTATTTCAGAGTTCCTTGTCTACAAAAAAACCAATTATTTCCATAACACTAAACTTTCTGAAACAATGGCATACTTCGACTTCGGACATCGTGGACGTGATGAACGTGGTGCTAAACTTTCTAAAACAATGGCATACTTCGACTTCGGACGCCGTGGACGTGATGAACGTGGTGGTCTTAACATTGCAGTAAACGCTACAGAAAGTTATATCGGCAATTCTGTAGCTTGGGGCCTGTTGAAAAGAAAAGGTGACGACAGAAGAGACCGTGACGACAGAAGAGACCGTGACGACAGAAGAGACCGTGGCGACAATCGCAGGCTTAATGTCATCGCACTCACCAAGAACCGTAGCTCAAAACATGTTCGCGAATTGGAGGAACAAGGAGCGGAGATTCGTGAAGTCGATTATGGAAACAGAGATTCACTTGATCGCGCTCTTCGTGATGTCGATTTGCTGGTACACATTCCTGAAAGCAGTCGTAACCGCGTGCGAGACGCCGAAGAATTGTCAAGGGTAAATAATATTTCACTTACAATTTAGTTCACTTTAGAAATATACTTGATTGACTCCACGATAAATTCTTTCAATAAAGGCTGCAAGAGACAACGTACATACTGCAATTGTTCTCTCGCTCATTGGTTCTGATGAAGAACGAACCAATACTCATCGTGACTTTCATCAAATCGAAAAAACTATCCAAGATGAGATTCAAAATACCTCTATTCTCAGGTAATACATTAAGACATGTAATTGTTACATAGCTACAACCTTTTACGATAAATTCTTTTTTTTATAAAGGGTCGCATGGCTGTTTGAAAGATTCTTTTTGTGGAGCGAGAACATTCAGAAAAAATCTGAACTCGTTTTAAACCTCGACGAAAAAGACTCCATTACCCCACTTGAGTTTGAAGATATCAATCATGCCATTCGAAAACTTATCGGTCGGAATGACCGAGATCGTCAACAACAACAACGTAACGTTTACGTAATTACAGGTCGTGACGCGCTTAACCCTCGCGATATTGTCGACATCATCAACGAGAGTATCGAGAGAACTGATCGCGTAAAGTACCGACAAGTAAAACGCAACGACCTTCGCGATTACTTGAAAAATCTTCGAGAAGATAGTCAACACGGACATGAATATGATCCACGTAACTTCCTTCCTATCAATGATATAGATATTGAAAAAATGTAAGCATCATCTCGTTATCTTTATTGGAAAATATTGATATGATACTCATTATACAATTTATAGTCTCGATATTCTCGAGTACGCAAAAGTCGGCGATAATGCTGGTCAAGTTACCGATGATTTTAGAAGACTCACTGGTCGTGAACCTAAATCTGCTGAGGACTTCTTTAGGGTATGTGTCATCGTATTTTCTTGTGCATTCTCAATTCTAATTATTTAAATGTACTTTCATTCTACATAGGATAATGCGAGAGAGTTTGAACCACGTGGTGGAAACCGTCGATTTGGTCGTCTAAACTTTTCTCGCTTGTAAAAAATTTAATTAAAAATTTTCTTTTTAATATTGAGTCTTTTAAAACTTCTCATGCAATTTTCTGTATAAAAAAGGTAGTTCAATAAATATATGGTTGTATTTTAGAAAGCATTGTTCTGCTCACGAATAAACAATATTTCAGTATTATCGTTATGTCAGAATAAAGTTTATTTCTCTAAAATCTAATTCCTTTCTTTGTATTCGTTGTGCTTGATTTTCACTTTGAGATATAGTACGAGACACTTCGCGCGTAATCAGCTACGTTAAATACTATACCTCGCATATTAGATGAAAGCTAAATCACCCACAAATTATCCCACATCCCGATATTCTAACACTGAAATCTACTTTCTTCATCTCGTTTGAAATTAACAAAGATGATGCGGTTGCAAAAATCCAAACTGCAAACTAACGCTAAAACAATACTGCCCAGCAGAGATTGCATCCATAGTTTTCGAAACTATTTTTTCCAAAAACGAAAAGCTCCGAGCAAAATTTAATGCATTATCTTTGCATGCAAATATAGTCGTACCTCCGCACTTTTTGCTCGGACAAAAATATATAAGCCAGGATTTTTTGAGATCAGTGTTGCCACTGGAACATTCCAGTGAGAGTCAAAATTAAAAATTCATTAAAATTAACTAGATAAATTTATACAATGTAATATAAGGATAACATATTGATAATTAGTTTATACTTTTAATAGATTTTTTGATGACTGAAATCTTCCCGTGGCGTTCCAGTCAATATTAATTTTACTTCCAGTGACTTTCCGGCGGGCTTCCCGTGGCTTCCAGTAACAACACTGTTTGAGATATCTTAATCAGAATTTCTTTGTTCCTTTAAAGATCGGTTTATTGATTTATGAACGCTTTTTATCGAGTTTGAAGACTAAAAGGGAAATAAAATTCCGGGATAAAAATGTGCGAACTTGTTAGCTGGGTTAGTTAAAATATTTAGAAATATAGAAAAAAACTTCATAATAAACTAGAAATCCATCATGGTTAACACTCAACAATGATGACTAAATTAACATAACGATAACGATAAGTGGGATGACGGTTTAGATAATTTACCAGAAAATCGAGAGGTTGCAACTCAATAGGTTGCAACTTATACAGTGGCTCACACATGTAACGGAACACGAAAATTAACTTTCTAGAATTTTTATTTCTATGACTATTAGTTTGAACAAAATAAAAAAGTGTTTATTTGAAACCTTGAAACCTCTAATATTTTTTAAAAATAATTTGACAACAGATTATTTTGTGATTTAAATCAAAATTTACAATTGGTAAATTTCTCACATTGAAGACCTTTTTTTCTATGACGGATTCAAACTTGAACCACTAATTAAAAATGTTGACTCTATAAAATAGATATTTTACTAATTTCCTTCCATTTCTGAGGATTAGTTTGCTTCTAATTTAATTTTAAACCATCTGAATTCTAACACTTAAAACCCTCATTCATGAGGCAATAACCTTAAAATTGATGGGTGTTTGTCAAAAGGTGGGTCAACTTTACTTAATGGATGAGGGAGAAATTACCACCAGTTCCCGTTTCCCTAAAAGAAAACGAACTAATCAAAGAATCTTTTATCGCTGAAATAATAAAACTCCTCTTTGCCAAGAAACTTATTTCAATATGTTCTACTTATTTACCATTTTCATAAAAATCAGCTTAATTTATATGGATATTTAAGATCCTAAAGTCTGAATCTATGCTAGGAGCATTAATACATGAATCAATGCTCCTAGCATAGATTCGGT